CAGAACATAAAAAATTGTGAGCATTAACTATTCATTTCAATACACCATCAGACAACAGCAATACAATCATCGCAGCTATTCATATATTTATTTATATTTTGCCTTCCTTTTTTCTTCTTTCCCTCATCCCACTCATTCCTTCCTTTGAGCAATTTCTTTCCCTTTCCCATCATCTATTGTACCTTTTGAGTTTTACCTAGTCTTTCAGTTCCCTACACCAGGGAGACAATACGATGTTTACACATGTAAACATTTATTTCACTTATATGAGTATGGTCTCTAGTTGCATCCATTTACCTACAAAAGCCTCAAGTTTATCTTTTTTACTCTACAAATTTTAAAAAGAAAGACAGGATCTCACTCTGTGGCCTAGCCCCAAACTCCTCGACTTAAACAATTCTCCTGCCTCAGCTTCTTGAGTAGTTAGGACTACAGGCATGTGCCACCATGTCCACACTGCTTGCTAATTTACTCAGTCCAATTTCATCCAAAAAATTATTGGAAATGGCTAGTAACCTTTTTTCTTTAAGTGCCCGTACATACACCACATGATTGTTCCTATCTGTGTCACATATTCTGTACTGTGACCTATAAAATAGGTGATGTTAATCACACTTTATAAACAATTTCATGCTGCACTCCACAATCCCAGTGAGTCGGGATCTGAGGCAAGAGGACTGCAAGTTCAAGCCCAACCTGGGCAACTTAGTGAGACCCTGTCTCAAACAAAATTTTAAAAAGGGCTGGGAGTATAGGTCAGTAGTAGAGCACTTGCCTAGCAGGCTTAAGCTTTGGGTACAATCCCCACTACTGCCCAAAAAATGGCTTGAAGAGCACAGTTAGGTCATGACTGTGAAGTGAACAAGTGACAGGAGAGCTTTGAAACTGAGACTGCGCAGCGCCGACATCTGTGCCCTTCCCGTCACACCTTGCTGCCTCCTTCCCATTTGTGGGTGGTTGATATTTTATTACTTTCATTTCCAAGTAAAATAGATAGTTCTAAGAACTGTCATCGAATAGGTAAATAAGTGGATTCTCATTTTGGTTTTCAATATAGGTAATTACTGAAGTAAATGGAAGCGTGAACACACCCACCAGGACTCTCAGCTCCCAAGAATTCCCGAGCGTGAGCATATAGTCTCTGAGAGCATTTCCAGAGATGTATCTACAGCTATTCATAGATTAGATTTTGGTCCTCTGCTATTAGAATAAAATAACAGAAATTGTACTTCCTTGAATATAGTTTCACTGACTCAGGTGAAATAACTGTTTGGTCAACTGTTTGATCAGTTGTTTGGTCAAAGTCTGATTGCTAGAGAGGCCAGTGTGGAAACCTTGAGTGGTCTGTGGCCCTGCCTTTTAGTAAGAATGATATCTGTTGCTGTTCAGATCTGCAGACAATCACCAAGAATTCTCAAGCAGCGTTGACTTCTCACCGAGCGAGGAGTAGAAGGCAAGAGGTCACCACACTCGCAGATGCTCAGGATACAGAGGCCGTGCAAGAACGAAGCACAACTCCAGATGAGCCTTTGGCAAGCGCTGCAGAGGCGGGCACACGTTCCCCACCTCCCCCTGCTCTCGAGGGGACTTCTGATGGAGGAGGAGTGCTCCAGGAGCCCCTGGGACGCACAGTACCTGTTTCCAGAATGCAGAGCAGTGAAGAGGCTGAGGCAGGCCCTGCCTACAGTGACGAGGACTATGAAGAAGACATCATTGAGCCCAGGACCCTAAATGAGATCACCACTGCGACAGACAAAACTAGTCCTTGGTCCAGTTTCACATCAGACACGAGTGAGGCCATCAGCCCTCAGCCTGATGAGGTGCAGAAAGAACGTCCCTCCTCTCCTTCTCCAGGACCTTCACCCAGAGAGGCGCTCAGGGCCAAAGGCAGCTTTCTGTCCAGCCCAAAAATGGCTGTCGACTCCCACCTACCTAGGAAGAGTGCTCCTAGCCTTGTTGCTTGTGAGGGTGGAGCCTCTAAGGCCAGGGTTGGCGAGGCTGCCTCAACCACACCTCAGCCTGGCACATACCTACCGCACTCAGGAACCCAACGGAGCAAGACGTTCATCGGGTGGAGCTCACCACGAGCAGATCAGGACAAGGAGCCAAAGCCAGAGGCCCAGGCTGACAATGAAGCTGCCTCCAGTGAGCTCAGTGACTCTCCTGATAGCATGGAGAAATCCCCTCAACACCTGACCTCCCAAAGGAAAAGAGAAAGCCATAAAAAGCCACCTGTGGAGTCCCCTAACATCAGGCAGAAGCAGGTGACAACTGGCTCAGAGGTGTCCACAAGGCAGAGCCTCCTGTATCCTTTGGTGTTTCCCCCAAGTGGCCCCTTGAGCCATCTCCAGGCATTTGGGTGTTGATGTTAGTCTAGCCAAGTGCACGAGCAGCGGCCACCCTGTGGAATGCCTGGGGGATATGGGAAGCCCCTTCCTTCCGAAGCCTCTCCGCACGCCAGGTGTACAGGTCTGCCGTTGACACCAGCCCTCTGAAGGACTCTCTGAACTGAGTTTGGGTGTTGGTAGCACATTTATAAGCTTGCCTGCCTAATTTATCCAGTTCATCTAGGGCAGTGGTGGCAAACTTACGGCACATGTGTTGTTTGTCTTTTAAGACAAAAGATATTAATTAGCAGTTTTTTCTAAACTAAAACCTCAGTGTTCAGGTTTGATAGCAGTGTTGGTACTTTGATAAATAGATGAGTTTTAGGTTGCAGTTTGGGCCCTTGTCTCTAAAAGGTTCACCATCATTGATCTAGGGGGTAGTTCGCCACCAAAAGGAAGGGTTGGGATCTTAGTTAAAACAGAAGTGGAAGTGGGGCTGGGGATAGCTCCGGTGGTAGAGAAATTGCCAAGCATGTGCGAGGTGCTGTATGAGGCCAGCATGGCAACAGCAAGAACAGAAAGCCAGGTGCAGGGGCACATGTGCGTAATCCCAGCTACTCGGGAAGCTGAAGCAGGAGGATTGCAAGTTTGAAGCCAACCTGGGCGATTTAGCAAGAGCCTGTCTCAAAAAACAAAAGTGGGTGGGGCCCAGCTTGGTGGAACACTTGTAATCCCAGCGTTTGAGAGGCTGAGGCAAAAGGATCACAAGTTCAAGGCCAGCCTCGGCTACACGGAATAGGAAGATGAGAACCCTGTCTTAAAAAAAATTTTAAAAAGTGGGTGAGGATGTATCTCAGTAGTAGAATCCTTGCTTCAATCCCTGGTACTACAAAATAATAAAATAAAATAAAATAAGTGAAAGTACAGAGAGAGGGGAAAAAGGGCACTAACACTGACTGAGCATTTACTATGTACCAGGCACCTTGCCTTGTGATTTAGTCATTACAGGTCTTTCAGGTAGGTATCATTTATTTTGCATATAAGGAATTTGAGGCTCATAGTTACAGGGACTTTCCTAAGACTCAAACTTTTTTAAAAACCAAGTGGTGGATACCAGGAGGACAGTAGGGTATGGAGAGGTTGTATAAGGCCAGAGAAAGCCAAGAGATGGTACAGGGTCTGGTGAGGGAGACCCAGGGGGCTGCAGATTGCAGGGCTGGGGGAGGTCTGTCGATGGGGATGAGCAGGAGCCAGCCAGATGGGAGTGGGGCAGCATCGGTGATGGTGTGGTAGAGAGAGGCCAGCCCTGCAGGCTCTGTACTGACGTTCAAGGCTGCCCTGAACTGCGTAGTGAGACCCTGTCTCGAACAAACGAAAAATAAATTGAAAGAATTGAAGGGAGAAGGCTGGGAATGCAGCTCAGTACAAAGACCTGGGTTTGATCCATACTACAAAATAAATAATATTAAAAATACCAAGTGATGGAGACACGAAGAAGTGGGCATCACTGATAAGGATTTTCCCAACTGGCAGAACGGTACTGTTGATGGGAAGAAAGGGCCTCTGACATTCACCCTTCCCTCCTTTGAAACGGCCTGCACATTATAGGGAAAGGAGACTCCTGGGGACCACAGAGCCTTCTCGTCTGTGCTGACTGGCTGATGCGGTCAACCCACCAGCTGTTCCCACAACACAGGTGATCATGTGGCCGTTAGATGAAGGGGGCCTTTACTGACCCAAGCACATCCTCTGCTAGATGCTGGGGGGGACCCACCTTTGGCCCTTGTAGATCCAACATCTTATTATTTGTGACTTCAGATTTAGCTTTTCTCAGCTATTTCTTCTCAGCTAAGACTGAAGCAGGAATCCCTTACCCGTCAGACTCTCAGCTCCTGGAACAGCAAGCTTGTCTTTTAGTGTTGCCCTCACCTGCCAATGAACGGAATAGGAACCAGTACTAAACTGAACAGTCGCAGTTTCACAAGAGTATTGAGAAAATCAAGTGGGTAAAAGCATTCATACACATTACACAGATGTGACTCCTCATGCAGGTGGGAGAATGGGCTCAGGAAAAGCATAACATGTAGGTAGCTAAGGATTCAAAGCAGATGGCCTCTGGAGAAACTTGCCTGGCTTCACCATCCTGCCTCCTGAGGTCGCTGCCTTAAAATCAGTTTATTTGTGTTCAGAATAGGGGCTGCCACATGTGCCCAGGCCCCTGGAATTCAGGCCTTCCCAACTATTCTTTCAGAACATGAGTATAGCCAGACTTCATGCTCGGTGCTAAGAGCAGATTTGAATCAGACTTTACCTCAGGTTCCCATTATCTGGTAGAAGTCAATCAAGTAAACAGGTAATTTGAATTTATTATAAGTGCTCTGGTGAGACACGGGAGCATTGGTAGGAAATTGCCATAACTGCTTGGAATTACCCCAGTAAGGAAGGCATGAGAACAAGGCCTTCAGGATGAACAGCCATTCTGTAGGCAGAGCCAGGGGATAGTTCTAGCCAGGATGAACTCTGTGTACAGGAGGCCGGCCAGGCAAAAGAGCCTGGCCCATGGGCAGCAGTTACTGTGCTGGAGCCCCGGGCTAAGTGGAATGGTGAGAGATGAGGCAGGCCCTGGATCGTAGGCTTTTAGACCTGGCCAAGGTGCTTAGGCTCTAACCTACAATCAAATAAACATCAGTTTCCCGTTCTATAAAACGGAAGCAAAAGTACTTAGGGGGTTGCAAAAATTAATGATACAAACTAACTAGCCCAGTGCCCAGTACATAGTGTTTGGCAAATGTTGACTGTTAAGCAAGTGTGAGGGCCGAGCGTGGTGGCACACACCTGTAATCCCAGCACCTGGGAGGCTGAGGCAGGAGGATCGCCTGGGATCCATAGTGGATTCAAGGCCAGCCTGAACTGCATAGTGAGACCTTGTCTCAAAAAAAAGATATTTCTGTCACAAGTTACTAGTCTGGTGTTGTCATTTGCTGGATAGGGAACAGCATAGAAAAAGACAGGTTTGGGGAAAGATGCCGTATCTGTTTTGGGCGTGTGCCTGCAGGACATCCAGGAGGAATGAGGCCTGGGGTTCAGACATGGGATTGGATAGAAAGGTGAAGGTCTCTAGAAATTGATGAGGGCATCAGGAAGAGGGAGAACACACAGACAGAGCCCCAAGGGTCCTAGATATAAGAGGCAGGCAGAGCAAAGCAGGGCCACAGAGTAGCTGAGCAAGCTGGGAAAGACGGAGCGCAGCAGAGGCTGCCAGGAATTGCAGGTGTGGCTGGCACTCGGAAGTGAGGACAGGTCCAGAAGAGGGTAGACTGGCATGTGTCTGCCGGCTTCAGCATTGAGGAGGACCCTGCAGTGGTGGAACAGACCAGACCTGAGTGGGTAAGTGATCTGTTGCTGGAGACAAGCGGAACAGGCCACTCTGCCCGTAAGCTAGGGAGCCGAGAGTAGCTGCTGTTTGTTGTTCAGATGATTCACTGTATCAGCCACCATTCGAAGCACCTTACCTGTATAAATCTAACCCTCCACACTATAGGTACTAATGTTATATCTGTTTTAAAGACGAAAAGAACGGAGGCATCAAAAGTGAGCTTCCTGAAGTTACACAGGCAGCAAGGGACAACTGAGTGGTATAACCAGAAGAGAATCAGAGGTCAGGTGCAGTGGGCCTTAGGAAGAAGGCAGAATTGGGCTTTTCCTAAATGGGAAACTTGGGCACTTTTGTAAGCGAAGGAGAAAAAGTTGGAGAGTTGCTCTGTCGATAAAGGGCTGAAAACAGGCAGGAGGTGGCAGGCTGAGGAGAGATGCTATGTTCAGACCCGGCCCTGACACCTCCCAGCAGAGCTGGTCCTTCCCCACAGCATCAGCTGACTCTGCTGGAGACCCAGCAATCAGAACAGCACCAGCAAAAGGCCGTGCCTCGACTGTGCTTCTGGACAAAGCTTGGGTCAAAGTTCTCTTTCCATTCAGGTCCTGCATGTCACCCCCAGCTCGCTACGGAAAAATCAGGAACTGAAAGCCAAGTGTGGCGGCACGTGCCTATAATCCTGGCACTTGGGAGGCTGAGGCAGAGGATTGCTGCAAGCTACATAGTGAGTTCAAGGCCAGCCTGAACTACATAGTGAGACCCTGTCTCAAAAAAAAATCAGGGACTTGAACCAAAACTGGACATAAATGCATTTTATTCAAGTCAGTAGAACAGTGACTACCCTGGACACCATGCTAGGTGATGGGAATGTGACTGAAAAAAAGGAATCATCTCTGCCCTCTTGGAGTTCAGTGTCAGCCATAGAAGAGCAATGATAAAATAGAAAACCTGTTAAACAAATTTAAATCAAAACCATATATAATTTATTAAACAAAAATTTTTAAATTGAACATCTCAATAGTCTCCACACCCTGAAAGTTAAACCCAACTGAACCAGTGCTTTGATTCAACAAATATTTGCTGAACACCACGTTCTCAACACAGGAACCTCAAGCAGGTACAAGGAAGGAGCCATGGCACCTGCCTCCTAGGGCTCAGGTCCAAACTGTACCGGCCACCTGTGCCCACAGACAGCCCCTTACCGGGGAGCCTTTGTTTCTGAGTGTGATCAGAGAACAGCCAGGCAGCAGACCCTCCTGCAGCGCCAGGCACCTCTGTCCTGGGCAAGGCCCCTGGAGCCACCTGCTCCATCTCTCACCTCTTAACAAGGCAGCTTTTAACCGTGGGCCCTCTGCACGTGTCATGCAGCACCTACCAGCATCCTGCAGGGAGCTGAAGGAAGCCACACTCCCTACCACTAAGAAACATAAGGAATATTGAGGGAACAAACTGAGAGCCGTGACATCCTGAGCATTCCCTGTGGCAGACTGCTCTCACATGAGGAAGGAGAGATCGCTGTGGGCTAAAATTAGCAGAGGGCTTCCTGGAGAAGGCAGAATTTGAACTGACACATGAAGTACAGACTGTGGGCCAGGGATGTAGCTCAGCGGCACGGCGCCTGCCTGGCAAGCGCGAGGTCCTGAGTTCAATTCCCAGTACCAAAAAAAAAAAAGTACAGACTGTCAGGAGCGGGCAGCTTCTGCCAGTAGGGGAAACGTAAATGGTGTAGCTGAGGTCAGTGGAGACGCTGGCCTGGGGAGGGGTAGACTTCCAGGTGTCTTTGTCCCTTAACGACCACTACAGCCCAGAGCCCATTGTTGTGCCCAACTTCTTTTTGCCTCCCCAGCAGTTGGAGGCCTCCCTACGGCTGCTGTCATTCTCTACAGCTTTGCCACCACCAGCCGCAGCAGATGAGGTAAGAAAACAGCCAAGGCAGAGCCGTCGTCCCTTGCCGTGCAGAGCTGCCCTGGACCGCCTTCCGCCTGCACTCCTTACACTTCCCCGGAGCACATTCTTTGGTCTCAGCGGTGGGCAAGGAGCTCAGGAAACGCGAGGGAGCGTGATGTGTGAGAGCAGGGCACTGTCGGCGGGGGGGAGTGGGCACAGCACAGAAGCATAAAAGCAGGAGTCAGCTGAGGAAGGCTCGCTGAGTGCTCTGGGAGCTCCAGCTAAAATCAGCAGGGGCAGACTCTGCGTTTTCAGGGAGCCGCAGCAGGTGAGTGGGGTCTGGATGAAGAAAGGGCGCTACAGCCTTACTCAGAAATACTTGCACAGGACGTGTCTGGCAGCCTGCTTATTCGGCTTCGTACTGGTGCCACATGTTACAGACCCGTGGATACCCTTGTTATTGATCCCTATGGCCAGGGATTATTGCTGCAAAACTGTCATCCTCTTCATTTTGCCTCTAAAAGTTTCCTTCTACACCATCCCCTTTTCATATACTCCTGGTTTCTATGCTACATGTGCTCCACATTGCAGTGCTTCCTGCTTATTCCCAAATAAGAATTTTGGGGGTTTTTGGTTTCTTTTTTTGGTGCCTGGAATCAAACTCAGGACCTTGCACTTGCCAGGCAGGCACTTACGCCACTGAGCTGTATCTCAGGCCCCTGGTTTTTTTATTTGTTTTTGTTTTTGCTCTTTTGGAACCAGGATTTGCTAGGCAGTTCAGGCTGGCCTCAAACTCGAAGCTGTCCTCTTGCTTTAGCCTCCCAAGTGCTGGGAACAGGCGTGCACCACCGTGCTCAGCCAAGATTATTCTTTAGAGACTATCTCTGTTAATTAGTTTGACACTAGCCAATAAAGTCTGCAAAAAGGAAGAGAAAAATATTTTCAAGAATTAGATGTTTTACCAGGTGTGGTGGCACACACCTGTAATCCCAGCACTCGGGAAGCTGAGCCAGGAGGATTGTTGCGAGTTCAAGACCAGCCTGGGCTACAAAGTGAGTTTAAGGCCAGCCTGAACTGCATAGCAAGACCCTGTCTCAAAAAAAGATAAAAAAAAAGAAAAAAGATGTTTTAAAATCATTGAAATAGTTACCTCGGGGTAGGTCAGAACTTTGATTTCCTTACATTTAACAGTTGGTTCAAGATTTCATTTTGAATTATATTTGGGTAGCAGCACTGTAATCTCAGAGTTTAGGATCCCTAATGATCTTTAAAATGGCCTCACTTTGAACAGTTTAAGACAAAAAAGTAATCTTTTATGTTTATTCACATATTTACTATTTCTAATGTTTTCCATTCCTGCTTCACATCCTGATTTCTAACTTGGGCCATTTCATATACTGCAGATCTACTACTAACTGATTCTCTTAGCTCCAGTTGTCTGAAAATGTCTTTATTTTGCCTTCATTTTTAAGAAATTCCCCTTACTATAGAATTCTAAAGTGGGTTTTCTTGTTGTGTTCCGTTGTTTCTGATGAGACATAGACATCATTCTACCACCTGCATTTCTTTTTTTTTTTTTTTTTTTTGTACTGGGAATCAAACTCAGGACCTTGCGCTTGACAGGCAGGCGTTTGTGCCACTGAGCTATTATCTCCCCACCTGCAGGAAATTTATTGCAGGAAAATTCAACCACCATCTATGCGGTTAATCCTGTCAGAGCATAATTATCGAATTTTACTCCTCCTCCAGACCTCACAACCCATAGCCAACCTGTTACCAAGGCCTCTTCACTCTCCTCGAACATGAATCCACTCACTTCTCCGTCTTCCCTTCCCCAGCCCTAGTCACCTCCCCCGGGACTGGGTCCAGCTAGTCTTACTTGTAGACACATTCTTCTACTACCCTTTCTCTGTTCCACAGCCTCTGTGAGCTTCCACTGTAACCAGTCTTTCATTCTACTTTATCAGTGGAAAAGAGACAGGACTCTGGTCTGGTTTAAGTGTCTTTCGTTTTATTTTGGTTTCATTTCTTGTGCAGTACTGGGGGTTGAGCCTGGGGAGTGCTGAGCCACCCCCTCTCCAGCTTTTTTATCTTTTTATTTTGAGAGTGTTTCACCAAGTTGCCCAGGCTGGCCTTGGACTTAGGGTCCGGCTGCCTCAGCCTCCAGAGCAGCTAGGTTTACAGGCATGTGCCACCACACCCAGCTGTGTTCAAAGTATCTTGTCCCCCCTTTACCCCGGCTTCTAGCTGTGGATGCTAAACTTGCTGCTGCATTTAGCATCGAGGAAGTCCTCGTCACTGCCTGAGAGGACTCTGGGAGCTCCCCCAAAGGAAGGCAGGCAGCCGAGGGGGTGAAAGGTGAGCGAGGCAGGCAGCTGTGCCGAGTCCCCGTCTGAGGCAGCGACCCAGCAGCAGTGTTTACTTTCAGTTTTCAGCTCTTGAGATTTGTTTCCAGCTCCTGAGTCAGTGTTTCCATCACCTGAGGGAGCCACTGTGGAGAAGGATAAAACAGCAGCTCTAATCCCAGGCCAGAGGCTCACTTGGGGAGAACAGGGGTAGACAGTGGAGTGGGGAGAGCTTGGCCCAGCCTAGCACTGAGCATACCTTGGGGAGGTGCTGTACCCCGGTTCTACTCAGGACTTTTACAGCCTAAGTTCCTGCCCAAGGCAAGAGCAGCAGGGCTTCGTTTTGCTCCGGTGTCTGCAGCCAGTGTCAGCTCCAGCGTGACCCCTGTGTTTTGCAGCATGCTTTACCTGGCCTGAGCCTTAATCATATCTGAATTTCCTTTGGGCCTCACAGTAGACCTGGGTTACAAGACTGGACAGAAGTTCTTAGTTTCACTTGGCAGTAAAGACACTGAGATGCAGAAACAGAAAGCGTCTTTGACTTTAGCGAGTGAGCGATTGGGCTGGGCTACAGACCAGTGACTCTTCCGCTCCTTCCCACTGCTCCTCCCCTACATAGGCCCTGGGATACTGTAAAGCAGGGCTAGGGTAACTGGGGACACCTGCACCCACCGCCACCTGGGAACATGCGGTCTGTTCACAGGGATCCACCCAGGGTGAGGTGGAGGAAACCCAGAACACAGGCTGGGGTCAGATCACATTCAGACCTTTCAGAGCAGAGGCTGTGTCACAGGGACCTGGCTAAACAGGAGGCCCTGGGCCAGGCCGCATCCATGGTTGACAGGGCACCTCCTCCTGCATTATTTGCTCATCCTGCTCCCCTGGAACTCTTGGTGATCCTCCTCCTCATCTGCAGAGGAGGAAACCAAGACCCAGAGATACTGTAAGCCAGTGTGCAAAGTCCTGGTAGAGCCAGGACTAGAGCTAATGCTCCAGCCAGGGCTAGCGTGTTGATTTGGGGAGCCCTAAGCAGCCCCATGTTATCCTTCTACCACCCCTCTTATTCCTTCCATATACTTGTGTTTTCCCCAGCAGAGGCTGGCAAGGCCTCTTTTAAGACACATATGTCACTGGGAAGGCCTACCATGTTCATGGGATGAGCATCCAAGTGCATAGAAAACAGGAGGTCTCAGAGGTCTCTCCCTCCCCCTCGCTCCCCCCCCCTCGCTCGCTCTCCCTCCCCCTTGCTTTCTCTCCCTCCCCCACTCCATCCCTGTCCTTTAAAGGTCAGCTCATTGAGACCCCAAAGGAATAGATCTACTCCTCCCCAACCACTTGGGAACTGCTGTCAGCAGGCCTCAGCCCCTCTTTCTAAGTTTGTCTTCATGCAGGGCGTGGTGGTGCATGCCTATAACCCCAGTACTCTGGAGTCTGAGCCAGGAGGATCACCAAGAGTTCCAGGCCAGCCTGAGCTACATAGTGAGTTCAAGGCCAGGCTGAACTACATAGTGAGACCCTGTCTCAGAAAACTAAAAATAGGGGCCAGGGATATAGCTCAGTGATATAAGCGCCTGCCTGGCAAGCGCAAGGTCCTGAGTTCGATTCCTGGTACAAAAAAAAGAAAGAAAACTAAAAATAAGTTTGTCTTCTGCTGCCTCCATTCTCTCAGTTCAGCCCAGGCCAGGGCCACTACTTTGGCAGCAGAGAACTTTTCTCTACACCTTTCTGCAAACAAACCCTCACCTGGCCTACTCTCTCCCATCTTATGTTTAAACTCTTCCTTCATGTTTTTTCAAAATACTCTTCCAGGAGTTGCACCCCATGTATGACAGCCCCCATCCAGACTCCCAGGGCCCTGCAGCCCCTGCAGCTCTGACAGTCCTGCTTCCAGGTGGCCTCCTCCTTCCTGCCCCAGAAGGCTGATGGCTCCTGCAAAGCCACACTGTGCTGTTTTCTTGCACACCTCTGGAGTGTGGGAGTATTTCGGAGGGGCGATTACTACACTTTGGGATTCCCTGCTCTAGGCAATTTTGTCTTTTCAGCCCTTTCAGCGTTGTGGGTTTGGGGTGGTAATCCTGAAGAAAGAACCTCTACTACTTCAAGATGTTCTTAAAACCGTTTTAAGGTTAACAGAAGACAAATGTTGCTGAGTGTTCTGTCCTTACACACCCCTGGCCTGCCCTGTACACAGTGCCAAGTCCTGTCACTATCCTGTTCCCCAGGCCTGGGCCATGCAGATATGGTTGTGGGTGCTGGGAGATTGACTGAACCACCTACACTGGATTCAGCCCTGGGGCAGATACGGGCCCAGCCAGCAGCTACAGGCAGTGTTCATGCTTTTCCCCTACTGGGTGGCCTCACCCCCACCCAGCTCTGTTGAAAGTCTGCCTATCTTGAATCCCAGCTCTGAGTGTGGCCTTGTCAGATCTTCCCACCTCTTACTAGTTGCTCCTTTTCCGGTGCTCCCAAGCTTCAAACCTTCCTCTGTGACTGGTAGGTAGATCAGTGGTTGACCCTCTAGCCTGAGCACCCCCATGAGGACAGGAACCATGTCTACCTGTTGTCCATATGAGTTGATCAAATTGAGTAGATCTTAGGCTTCTAAAAGTTTTGTTGAATCACCAGTATTCTTCCATGGTTGCTTCATGAGCTGAGGTGGTTGGCCCTTCTAGCCTTGGAGATGAGACCCATCTACGTCTTCCAAAATGGAGAATGCTTCTGTTCTGACAGATGAGGAAACAAAGACCTAGTTTTAGGATTTGTGACAGAAAACCAAACTTGCTGGGCATGGTGGCGTGTGCCTGTAATGCCAGCACTTAGGAGGCTGAGGCAGGAGGATCATTGGGAGTTCAAGGCCAGCCTGAGCTACAAAGTAAGCTCAAGGCCAGCCTGAACTGCATAATGAGACCCTGTCCCAAAAAGACAAAAAGAAAATAAAGCTTTTAGGTCTGTTTTCTCATCTGGCTTTTAAAACAAAAATCCCCCTGCTTCACTTCTGATAGAGCAGAGGTAGAAATGGAAAGTAAGTTAAAGCTGGTGACCCAGAAGATCCACCTACACTATAGCCAGAGGACTGGAATGAGATTTGTGTCACCTCTAAACCCCAGGGAGCTCAGGAAACACCCACCTTAGACCTTATGGGTACAGACGGGCATATAGAACCTTCATGTGCTAGAGGCCCTGAGAGGATTTGATTTCACTAAAGGCCTGGCACATAGTAGGCCAACAACCACTGATTCTAGAAATGAATGTCATGTTTGCTGCAAAGGCAGTCTCCTCCCCCTGATTTAAGCCTCTGATTGCCATGCATGGTCCCATCACTGGTCTGCAGCTGCTAAGCTCCCATGACCTGTCCCAGCTGGAGTCACTTGCAGTGGAGCCAGTCCATGCCCTGCAGAAGTGCCCGCTGTGGAGGGGCAGGCAGCAGCACAGGCTGCCTCACTGGCATCTCCTGGCCTGAGGTGTTGTGCCATGCAGCTGCTTCCCAGATTTTGCAAGGAAAAAGTAAAAACCAGCAAAGGGTGATTTCCTTCTTAGCCTAGGCCTACCTAAAAAAGCTGGAGCTCCTAAACGCTGCTGTGCAGCTCGGCACTAGCACCGCTTGCTCTTGGCTATAAGGAAAGCCTGCCTGTGGAAGACAGTGCTGAGACCCTTGTACTGAAACCTTCATGCTTTGCAAACCAGGCAGCTCTACATGAATGTTATCGAAAGGGCCCAAACATGAGCGATGTCGTCAGGGCTAACCTAGCTGACTTCTCTCCCTCCAGGACAAGAGTGAAGCCACCAGTGGAGCCTTCTCCCAGAGGCCTTGTCGCCCCAGACCTCACTCACTCCCTCCCAACCTGCCTGAGGAAGAAACTCGCAGGATTGCTCGGATATTTTCTTCTCAGTGCTCCAAGAAAGACTGATGCAGCCTGAGGGACTGAGGGCAGGGGCCACCTGCCCACCGCCCTCAGCCCTGTCTGGCTTGCAGGAGGTGTCAGGTCCACTTCCCTTAGGGCTGTCACGGCCTCGAACCACCACCAGCCACCTCGTCCACGGGTACCTGAGACACACCGTGTACGGAGGGATGTTCCTCCCACCAGCACTTCAGCTGCTTCCTTCTGTGGTGAGGAAACAATTCCGAGTGGCCCACCTGTCTCAGGGACCAAGCAGGCATCTTTCAGCAGAGAAACTTCCCAGTGTCCTCACGGCCAACTGCTCACCTGAGCCCACCTCTGCCTGCCCTCTTTGCCTTAAAGGTTGGAACCTGACCAGGGCTTCGGGCAGGTTGTAGGTCGTGTGCATCTTCCATAGCCAAGGAAAGCTTAGAGCATCTCCAGCTCATCTGCTTGGGAGTAAGGGTATTTTCTAGATAGAAACTTTTTCATGTTGTATTGAATTAATCAATAGGAGAGAAGGGGGAAATCCCCTCCTTTAAACTGTTAATCTGATTATCTGAAATTCTAACCATGCTCTTATTGTTTTTACCCAGCTTTGATGATTTTTGTTTCTACCTTGAAATAAAATCCTATTGGTATTTGTTTTTTTGTTTTGTTTTGTTTTGTTTTTTGTTTTTGTTTTTTTTTTTCCAGTACCAGGAATCGAACTCACGACCTCATGCTTGCCACGCAGGCACTGTGCCGCTGAGCTAAATCCCCAGCCCCCTATTGGTATTTGTATGTGTGTTCCTGTTCAAATGTTTCCTGGGTTGGCCACAGGAATGGAGTTCTGGAGTTTGGTCATGTTCAAACTGCAGAGAAAAAGGTCAGCAACCACTCAGATCCCAGAGAAGTTCATCCAGAACAGGACCAGGGTCACCATGAGACGTCTAAGCTCCCCCAGATAACCAGAATATCAGATTGGTCCAGATTAAAGACACACTAGCATTTCCTTTACTACTGGTTCTTTTCTTCTTTTCTTTCTTCTGTATTTCTTTTCATTTGCTCGTGCTTGCAATCTGTCAGCAAAGTAGAAAAGTCCCCTGGAACATTTCCCTCCGAGCCCCTGTGGAGAGATGCTGGGCTGAGTAGCTCTTTCAGGACCGCAGCCGCTTGAGCAGCTACGTAGACAAGGCCTGTGGGAGGACAGAGCGGGGCAGAGTGTGGAGTGTGGATGGACGACGAGGCTGGAAGGGGTCTGCCACGGAGGGTTCTGCTTTACACCCCTACACGCTATTTCACTTGGTCCTCAAAACAACTTCATAACCTAGACAATAACACATCTCTTTCACGGTTGAACTGAATCTCAACAAAGTTGAGTGTTTTGCCTCTGTTTACATTGCTAAGGAATGAATCATAACACAGGACATCCCCAGAGATATCACAAGGCTTTGTGTCCAATACAGGGTACAGCCAGTTAAGCACTCTGAATTCGGGGAACTGGGGGTGGCAGGGGCGGTGCACAGCAGGAGGGGCTGCAGCACACTGGGAAGGCTTCCTAGAAGAGGCAGGTCCTGCGGGTGGGGGAGGCAGTGCCAAAAAATGAGTCGGCCATAGGCAGCTACAGAGAGAACCCGGAAGGCTCCCTGGGCCATGTGCTGCTGGGGGTAGAGGAGAGACACCAGCCTGTCTGGACCTCTGGCCTCATCAGTGAAGCTCAGGAACTGTAAAAAGCCCAGCTTCCTAGGGCTGTGATGAAAATCAAACGAGGTATCTGCGCTTCACCCACCCTTGGCACAGGAAGGCTCAGGAAATGTCGGTCCTGCCCACTCCTCTGCAGCTCCTGGAGCAAACTAGTAGAGGCAGGCATGCTGGGCCTGTGCGGGTGCAGAGACATGCAAGAGCTCCAGGGAGGGAGCTGGGGCTCCCCGTCTCTCGGGGCACAAGGAGCTTCCAGAGTAGCCTGAGGAGTAAACCCTCAGGTGAAGATCATTCTTGCCAAATCCTACTTCTGCAAATAACCTGTGGGGCCAAGTGAGGATAAGGCCACGGGAGGACACGGGCTGCTCCTACTCCAGGCTGAGGGCAGCCTCTGATGACACAGCCACCCTCAGATCTGCAGCTCGCCACCTGCACCAACAAAGAGTGTGCTGTTCACCAGTATCTCACCCTCCGAAGCTAGATCTTTCCCCATGAGGTAAGATGACTTGCTAAGTCCGGGAACGTGAGCTGGGGTGTGTTTGTCCCCACCACCAGAACTAGCCAGTGCTCCCTGACTCTCTTGAACACACCCTCTGCAGGCACCCCAAAACAGGTGTTTCTGATCGCCTGGAGGCTGGCTGCATCCCAGCCCGCAGCAGCCAACCTTGGAGCTTCTAGCAGGGGCTGGGCTCTCAGGCAGGGCCACGGAAGACAGGCTGGCCCTCAGGAAGCTCCCAGGCAGGCTGAGTAAGCTCGTCTCCCTCTCCCTGGGTTTCTCTAGGGCCTGCTGCCCCCTAGTTTGGTTCCTGCTTTCATCCCTCCTTCATGGAGCCTCTGCAAATCCCTCACCTCTAAGCTAATATTTCCAGGTGGATCCTAGAACCTTTTTTCTGAGCCCTCCAATCTCAGCCAGCCCTAAAAGCCCCTTCCCTTTACCACTAACGCAACTGTCTCTTCTGCTGTTGTTGAGGCCAGAGCTGGTCCAAGCAGGAAGACAGGTTCAGCCCAGGCTTTGCATTGCTGTCTCTGGACTTCAGACCACCAGCCCTATGCCCATGGCTCTGTGTCCAGGTCCAGAATGGCCACTGCCTACTCCTGTGCCCCACCCAGCTAACTCCTCCCCACCCTTCCTTCCCCTCCTCCCTCCCTGCCTGCCCTCCCCTACCCCAAGTGACCTGGATCCCAAGTTCGGCGATGCCCTACCTTCCCCTCAGTGCCTGTGGACAGAGCCTGCAGTAGCTGCAAGGGACCCTTCCCACCCTCCCCAGCTCCCCTTGGCCCCCGTGTATCCATACTGAAGCCTCCAAGTACGTGTCGTAGAGAACAGCACAGCAGATGAATGTGTCGGAGCTCACGGGCTGAATTCAGGCCCTGCCACGAATTAGCTATACCATTTTGATAAGTCATCATCCCCTCTGAGATTCAGTAAAATTAATATTAAAATATGAGGATCCTCCACAATAAAAAGAAGTGAAATACTGATATGTCCAACATCACAGATGAGCTTGGAAAACACTATCCCATGTAAGGCTCAAATCAGACACGACTTTCCCAGCACCCAACCTGTTTGCCAGCAGAGGCGTTGTTCCCAGCAGTGTCTCAGCGCAACACAGGAGCTGTCCCCAGGATGTCCTATAAGAGATAAGATAGGGCAAGGAATCTTGCAGGTCCCCAGACATCTGGAGACACTCAAAAGTTTATCTGGACACCCCAAGGACTTTGCCTACTGAGGTGCAAGACACTCAAAGAACTTGACCACATGTTTATTAACATCGTCCCACCTAATGTCCCTTGCCTTCTTTCAATCCCTATAAAAAAGGCCCGCTTCTCTTTGTTCCCTACAGATGGCATTTTCACCCTCTGTCTGCCTGCACCCAGCTATTAAACCATATGCCTTGTTGCTTTCACAAGAGCCTGTCAAGTGGTCTCTGCCCCGATTTGCACCTTACACCCCATACTCAGTGAAAGAATCCAGTCACCACACAGTACTTCCTGTATGATTCCACTTACATGAAATACCAGAATAGACAAATCTAGAGTCAGAGCAGATCAGTAGTTACCTGGGGCTGGGGAGGGGAAAGCGACATGACTGCGGAGGTGTACAGAGGTTTTCTTGAGAAGCAATGAAAATGTTCTAAAATAGACTGTGGTGACAGTTGTACAACTCTGAATAAACTAAAAACCACTTTAATTGTGTACTTAAAATAGGCAAGTTAAACCAGGTGGGATGGCACACTCTGTAATCCCAGCACTTAGGAAGCTGAGTTAAAAGGATGGCCACGAGTTCAAGGCCAGCCTGGGCTACATAGTGAGTTCAAGGCCAGCCTGTACTACATAGTGAGACCCTGTCTCAGAAACAAAAGTAAGTTTTATAAGGTAAATTATATCTTAATAAATCTGTTATTTAAACAATTTTAGAATCCTAGTAAGACTTACTTCATAGGGATGTTAAAAAATAGAAGTAATATATATAAAATACCTAGCATAGGGCTGGAGATGTAGCTCAGTAGTAGAGTGTTTGCCTATCATCTGTGAAGACTTGGATTCAATCCCCAGCACCACCAAAAATAAATTTATCTTCCACATAGTGGGCACTAAGAAGTGATGTTTATTGTCACTGCTGTTAATAAGAGGACAGCCCCATCTATCATGGGAGGCTTGTCAAAAGCGACACTCACACATGCTCTCCCCCATACACCCTTGTCACCGAAGTGGCCCTTCTGTAGCAGCTAGAAGGAACAATGTTAAAGTCAAGGGAGCAGAACCAGATTTGGAACTTACTGGCCACACCCCTCCCTGCCCCTCACCAGCCTGCCTCTCTCATCAAGGGATCAGACTGTCAACCAGCTTCACTAGGGTTAGGTTTCAGGTCAACTGGCATATAAGACAGGTGCCAGCCCAGAGGCAGCAGAGACAGCAGTGAATGGCAAGGAGGGGCCAGAGATCTTCGCTGCCGCCCCCTGAGATGGAACCGTAGGGAGCCGTAGATCTTTGCTGCACGGCCCTGGCTGGACTCATAGGTAAGACCCACTCCTCTCCCCCAACCCACTCTCTCCCTCTCCCTTCTACGTATTCTCCCTTTCACGGAGGCTTCCAGAGGTAGCCAGGAGCCGTCAGGGACCACTAGCCACAGCTGAGAGACCTGAGAGAGCTAGAGCCCAGCCCCCACCTTGTCAAAATGAGGAAACGGCAACACTGGCGAGGGCCTTCAATGCCACATCTGTGTCCCTCACCCAGGACTCACATTTGCCCAGCTGGCTGCCTCTGGTGGGATTTTGCAAGGTCAGCAAATATGAAGTGACTTCTTCCTTTGGCCCAGAATCTTTGGGGTTCCTCAGTGGAGATGCTGTGGAGGCCTTATCAGGGAGGGTGGGGTTAGGGTTGGCAAGGCAACATGGATGGATGTCTCAGAATAGGGTCCTCCGACTTCTGCTCAGAGGTACCATGAGGAGTTTGTTTCTAATGCAGACTTTCCGAGCTCTACCCAAGATGTGAATCAAGACCTCTGGGGCTGAGGGTCAAGATTCGCTCTGTAAACAAGCAGCTCAAGGGATCATGAGTTCTCCCTGAGATCTGAGACTCAGGACAGTGGAATGGGCTCTGGTTGTCTGACAGACCTTGGCGCCGATCTCAGTTCCATCATTTCAGCTGCATGACTGGCTGGAGCACTGAAACTCAGGGGCTGGGACACCCCACCTTCAGGTGCCCCGCAGGGACACGGGGTAAGGATTCTGAGCTCAGCTTCCTCTCCAGTCAGTGGCAAAGGTTTAATGGCCACCGAGGTTCTTCAAGTAACAATCCAAGAGGTTAGGGGCATGCCTGTGCCTCCCATGATAGCCTCCTGCACCAGTCCTGCTATGAGTTTTGACCTGAGTCTGTGCTCCTCCATTGCATTTTTGGAGGATTGCTCAGGACTGCTCCAACTTCACCCTGGTTGCTGCTCTTGACCAAGTTAGGCTTCAGCGCCTCTTGCTAGCACCATTTCAGCAATCTCCTTCCATCTCTCCCTTCAGCCCATCCTCCACACCTGCTCCAGCATGCTCTCAACACAGGTCTGACCGTGTCTTTCCCTTCCCAGAAAATTGCCAACCACTTGCCATTCTCCAGTAAATAAGTCTAACCTCTGCATTCAAAGTCCTCTAAAGACCCTGGGTTCATCTCTGACCTCATTTCCCACCTACTCACTTCAGTAAGTGGGGCTCTCTGGTCAGCTGGTCCTCCCTGGCTTCTCTGAATGCCTGCCATGTACTGGGCTTCAGAGAAGCAGCATGAATAGATCCTGTACCTACTTTGGGGGCTCCCCATCTAGGGAGGCAACTTACAGATAATGAGCCTCTTCTACAAGAAGGTGTGGGTCAAAGGCAGCTGGGGAGACAGCAAATGCCAAAGGGAAGCCCTGGCTGAAGGTTCAACTCTTTGGCCAGGGTACAAAAGGTCCCCCAGGGTCATGGGCCCAAGCTCAGGAGGAGGAAAAGCAGTGGAAAGGTCCCTGCAGGGCCTGGATGACCCAAACATTTTACAGAAGGTGGCTTAGGGCAAAGAACGCCCTGGAGTTACATCTCCCTGCTGGGAACCTCACTTCTGCTCACTGTGTTCAAGACAGGTCACTTTGCCCATCTGGCTTTAGTTTGTAACACGAAAGTAAAATAAAACACATAATTTATTAGCACCTGAGTGGCCCTCAAAGGTTATTAAGAAGAGACACTAGAGGACACAACCCCCAAAGCACCTCCCCAACTCAGAATCAGAATCTGGGGTTCATGGTGCCCAAGCCCTCTGCACCGCAGCTCATCTCAGAGCTCCGGAGAAGGGCAGGGGAAATGCCAGGGCTGGAGGAAAGAGGCCACCACGATGCCAGTCAGCTGCTCTCAGTGCATTCCAGTCCCAGACCGCAGCCAGAGCCTCCCTGCTGGGCAGGAGCCCAGGCTGGCTGGTCTCTGTGGGGCAAAGGGCAGTGGGGAAGGAGCAGGTGGAGGGGATTTCTCCCAGCATCCCTGCAGTGCCACCTCAGCCCGGGCAGCGCTGAGGCCCCTCCACTACACTCCTAAAAAGCCTGACCCTTCTTGGGCTCTTGTCAGGGAGCAACTCAGATGAGCAAAGAGATGGGCTGAGGGAAGAGCCCAGGAGAGGCTGAGGCCTGACCGTACTCACCTGAGCAGCTCTCGGCCACTCTGGGCCTATGAACGCCATCTGCCAAGTGGGGCAGAGCTACTCACCCTGCCTTTCTCACCAGGCGGTGGCTCCATGCTTGACACTGAAGTCCCCATAGGTGGGTTTTGCTGATCATTTAGTAACTGCAAAAGTCTTTAAATGCTTCAGTAAAAGGAAAGATGGAGTAACCACAGCTACCACTTCATCTGGGGCACTGGGGCTCCTGGTAAAGACAGCCTTGTTGCCTGACAGCATGGCTGGGATTCCGCGACCCCAGTTTCTGTCCATCTTTTTTTTTTTTTTTTTTTTTTGTTTTGGTCTTGGCTTTTGCTTTTCTTTTCTTGG